TAACGATCAGTCCACTGCGGGACTTAAAATACCGCTCATCAATCAAGGCCGTTTCAACATAACGAAACGAACATCGTCTTCCACAGCGCGAATTCGCATCGGAACGTAAGAGCCTTGCGTGTCTTATATCGCTATATCGTTTGTCTTCTTTACTCGGCGGCTTAAATCAGATTTCTGATGCATCACCTGGAACGAAAGTTGCTGTATCGGTCTGCCGATATAGGCGTTAAATCGGTATGTCACGATATATCGATTTATAGCCCAGTCCTAATTGTCATAATAGTATATAACTTTTTAACTCAGTAACATTTGTAGCCATAGATTGGTAAATTGTATTACACTTGTCATCTAATGGATGAACACCGTTAACATCTTTTTTATGACCTAAGATTTGAATATTATCTTTAAAAAATTCACATTTAGAAAAATTAATCTTAACATTATAAGAATTTAACCTATCCATAACAATTTCAGTCCTATTTATACACTCTTCTTTTGTATTAGCCCTAACAATCAAATCATCAATATAACAATTAGTAAAAGATAGATCTTTCAAGATTTCATCCATCTTTTGTTGGAAAAGGAAAGAAGCTGATTTAATCCCGAAAGGAAGTTTGGAGTACCTAAGTAATCCTCTGAGAGTATTCAATGTTAATAATTCTTGAGATTCTGGGCTAATAGGAAGCTGATGAAAAGCCTTAGATAAATCAATTTTTGAGAAAAACTTACCATCACCCATACTTGTTAATATTTCTTCTTGAGAAGGCAAAGGATAAAATTGCGTTTCACAAAATTTATTTACTATTACCGAAAAATCTCCACAAATTCTAACAGCTTCTTTACCATCTCCATTAAGTTTTGGAAGAGCAACAATAGGTGTTGCCCACTTAGAATGACTTACAGCATGCAAAACACCATTATTGATAAGAGTGTCCAACTCCTTATCAACGAAATTTCTTAGGGCATAAGGAATTGGTCTACTCTTACAAAACATAGGAATTGTTTCCTGTTTCATAGCTATGTTTATTGGATGATCTCCCAATATACCAGATTTGTCATCTAAATTAAAACAATTTGGAAATTTAGTGTTTAAATATTGAATAATGGAAGAATTACTGAAAGCAAGGTTACCATTATCAACATTACTATTACTAACATTAGACACAGCATCAATAAAATTATCAAACATAATATTCAACTTTTCAATCCACTCTCTACCCAACAAAGTTGGTTTGTCAATACAATCAACAACAATTAGTGGAAGAGTATAACATTTATCCTTATAAGTAACAGGAGCCTCATAATTACCCAAAATCTTTAAAACTTCCCCAGTATATGATTTCAAAGTTGGAATTTGTAAAGATAACAAATTATTCAAATTAAGGTGTTGAAATTTTGTAACAGACATAATTGAAACCTGAGACAATTTGCATGTTGACTTTAACACCATTTATCTGTACATTAATAGTGTATGGTTTTGAAGGATTATCAATATTATGCACATTGTTCAGATAAAATTCTGAAGAATCCCCAACACTTTCACTAGCTGCAACAAAATTTGTGGAGGAAACTTTACACGCAGGCCTGATATGACCCTTAACACTTGTAACACCTTGTATTCTCAAAATTGCAATTCCCTTGGTGAGATTTTGCACAGTGCTTGCTGGGTTTTGCTCCTTTTGAACCTTGGACTTGAGGAGTGTTTCTCATCATAGAATAACTTTCACCATTCTTTTGAGAAGGATTCTTCTTGTACTTTTGATCAGAGATTTTCAACACAAGGATTTTGTTTCTCTCTGGAAGCTGTTTCCATGGCAAGTGCTAGTTCAGAAGCTTTGATGAAATTTATATCTTTTTCACTAAGCAATTTATTTTGAATCTGTTCAGACTGCAATCCACAAACAAGCTTGTCTCTAAGAGCATCATTCAAAAATGCACCAAAATCACATCTGCTCGCCAGCTCTTTTATCTTTACAATAAAAGTAGCTATGTCCTCGTTTCCTTGACGTAAATTATAGAAACGGAAACGTTCCATAATAGTAGATGAAGAGTAATAATTAGTCAGTTTTTACAATTTCATTATATTCCACAGTTTTCATATCACGTGGCTGGAGTAAGTTTCGAAGAAGTGAAAATTTTTTCTTACCGATAGCTGATAAGAGTAAAGCTGGCTTTTCATTATCCGAGGTAATCTTATTGACTTCAAAAAAGAAATCGGCTTGTAGTAAATACTATACAAAATTATCACCTTCCACGAAGCTTTGTAAACGTTCGGCATTTTGGATTTGGTTGATTATTCACTGCTGCAGCAAATTAACTTAATTCCAATTTCCTCATCGCCATTGTCATAATCAGGAAGACAGCAGAGCAGACAATATTATTTAATGAATGGAAAATGAAATAAATAGTGCATTATCAAATTAATTATTTATTTAGATAGAAGAAAGACAAGTTATACATGTTCAAACCCACAACGTTGGAGTCGATTGATTATTGATTTATTCAGTTCATTTCTCACCTCACTGTACATATTTTGGAACTATATCTTAAGGTACATGTGAAATTTGAGAATGAGTGTTGAATAAACACAAACCAATCTTTGTGCACTTAACCTCACAATAGGTCTCCCCATTTTTGCTTTATTTAAAATTTGCAATCTTTATATATATATTTCGTCTGTTC